AAAGATGCTGCAGCTTTTCAATTTTTTTGTCTTTTACCAACTGCAGGGTTTGCTCCTTGTAATCTTCTCTCTGTTTACACATGAAAAATTTGATTGATGCCAATTCCAATGGGATGCTAATCACTCTTTGGAATTATGCCATTTAACTCCGGCTGCAAATATTCATCAACAACAGCAGTCACCATTTCTTCAAATGTCGTAGTAACAGCAACCAAATCTCTGTGGCAGAAAAATATAGGGAATATGTTGTAAACAGAAACATAAGTGTCTAAAAACGGAAATGTCACTGCAAAAGTATAATTTCAAAATATTGCTTACTACTGCAGTATTAATTCTTAAAACTTACTTTAAAGCTCGGTCAGCAATAAATTCAGAATAATACTTGATCTTTGGTTCTGTTCCACTCGTTCTCAATGTTATAACAAGGCCATTTTCAAATGAGAATGTGATCATCTGGCTTGATGAAGAAGTTGGAAGCAATGGAACTCCATTTGGTGTAGTTGAATCATATCCAATGGTCAGATCAACAATGTCTTTCACTTTGTATTTCCCATCGAGAATGTCAGCTGGATACTGTAAGGATTTAAAAGAGCAATACAAATTATAGAGATAGTGTAGTATGACATATCAAAGAAGATTCAAATCTTACGGTCTTTAGCTCCCCAGAGAAATGACGCAGTCTTTCAAATATTTTCTTGGTTGTTTCAGGTTTGTGGCAAATAAAATATGAATTATTACATAAATGGTAACCATACCTAAAAAACAATAAAAAAAAGAGGAGAATTATTGTTATTAATTAATACATTGCACAGCTGAAGGAGTTGAAAATAAACAAAAGTTTTGATACATACTGATTATACACCTCACTCAGCTGGTCATTAAGAGTTTTTCCATTCATTTTCAAATATGTTGCCATCTCTGAAATGTGAACACCTGCTGAAACACCATCTTTATCCACAACCGAACTGCCACACATGAATCCTATAGCCTCTTCAAATGCAAAAATTACATTCTTCCCACTGGCCATGAGTTCACATGCTCGATTTCCCATCCATTTAAAACCAGTCAATGTTTCCTAGATAAAAATCAGCTAGAATATTATTCTTCACACAGAAATTTTCAATTTAAAACAAAGTTTGGTGTTGATCTGGTCTTACCTCAAAATTGAAGCCTTCAATCTGGGCCATTGTTCTAAGTATTTTAGATGAAACTGTGCTACTCAGCATGTACACATCATCAAGAGACTTCTCTGGATTTTTTTCTCTATATGACCTGAGAAGCCACCAGCCCAACAAAGCACCTAGCTCATTCCCAGTAAATGTCTTCCACTCATCACCACTGTAAATTTTAAAAGATACATCTTTAATTAATACCTATGTCTATTTACTTTTGATTACAACTGATAGTAATGGGACTCTCCGAATGAAGCACTTGCTTACACTTTTTCTGCCACAGCAAGACGATCTGCATCAGGGTCATTAGCTAATATAATGGTGCTCCCATTTGCATTGGCAGTTTTAATGGAGAGTTGCAAGGAGCTTTTCCCCTCTTCAGGATTTGGAAACTTGACTGTAGAGAATTCAGGGTCCGGATCCTTCTGCTCCTCGACAGCTATGAAAGGCTGAAGAAGCAAATCAAATTGTAAGTCTGGTTTTGTGAATCATGTTCACAACAGAAATGAAATAAAGAGCAAATTTTACCTGAAAGCCTGCAATATGGAACGCCTCTTTCATGTACTTGTATCCTACACCATGCATAGCAGTGTACGTGAATTTAAGAGGAGAAGTTGCATTTACTGTTGGACTGAGAAGAACACTTTTCAACTGTTCAAAATAGTTTGTCATTATTTCTTCCAAAGGATCTAGGCACATATTTTTATTTGATTGAAGAATAGATGTGTCTCTGGATACATCCCAAGGAACCAAATTTGCAAGAATAGACTCCTGAATAAGTTTGTCATGTGGAGATATTATCTGTAAAAAAGTTTTTGCAACTATTAATTCAATAATTCCCTTCTAAAGTAAAAAAAAATATACGCAAGTAGTTTTATAAGCTCGACATTCACCTGGGCTCCATTGCTCCAGTACACTTTGTAACCATTGTCATCTTTGGGATTATGAGATGCTGTAACCATGATGCCAGCAGCAGTCTGGAAGTGTCTCACACCAAATGCTACAAATGGTGTGGGACACAGGTCGGAGAACAAGTAAACTTTGACTCCCTGACCCATAAAAATTGTAGCTGTGAGTTCAGCATACCTTTAAAACACAAAAGAAAAGGATGAACAACAATATGACGTCACATTATATTGCGTTAAATTTATATTTGTATTTTTGAGGTAGGCGAGGAGTTACCTCTTACTGTTGTATCTGCCGTCATAACCAATTATTATCCCTTGCTCTGAGAGATTGGGAAAACAACACTTGAGGTAACGAAGTAAACCTTGAGCTGTCTGAACTATTGTAACTTCATTCATACAGTTGAATCCTGGACCCATAACAGCACGCAAACCAGCTGTTCCAAAAGTCAGGCGTTGCAGGAAAAGATGCTGCAGCTTTTCAATTTTTTTGTCTTTTACCAACTGCAGGGTTTGCTCCTTGTAATCTTCTCTCTGTTTACACATGAAAAATTTGATTAAAATCTAGGTAAATTTAAACACAATTTTATAAATTTGAAAATGAAGTACTTACAGTCTCCCATTCCACATACTGCCTGATTTTTTCATCAAGGTCAGGAACACCAGTTTCACACGCTGGGAGCTTCATCTTAGCTTTAAATTAAACAGAAAATAAATCAGATTTAATATGACGACTCAACAAAGTGCTCGGTCAGTAGTAACCTTGAAACATATATTGACGAGCTACAACCAATCAACTACTAAGGAAGAAAAAAATAACTTGGTCAGCTGATCTGTGGTAGCAGCAGTCAGCAACAGCAATCTCAGAACAATCTGATAACCTCTAATGTGTGGGAGGCAATGGAAAACAAAGATGACAACATCATAGCGTTTGACTTTCATAAGAAAACAACACTGAATAATTATATAATTAAACTGGTTCTCACAAAATTTTTGTTGATTTCTGGTTAACTTAGATATGGATCATAACATGAACTGGTTGGCTAGGAAACATCACACCTTTACCTGATAGAATGGCACTTTCCAAGGAAACAGCTGGAACTCAATCCAGATGCAGTCAAAATAAAATAAAACCAAAACCTCCTGCCTGGAGAGTGTGCTGTGTAATTACAGCTAAAGGGGCTGTTGTCTTACTTGTAATCCCATGAAATTCTTTAAAAATGAGTAACTAGATACGTTAAAGTTTTAGTCATACAGATATTCTTGTTTTAACCACGATGTCACAATTGTTGTCAAATTGTAATTTTCCATAAAATCGTTAAAACTGACATTTTGACTTCCTGGAACAATGGTTGGTTAGTTCCTCCGCATCAGACACTAGTCCAGTGTGAATGAACACCACCTCGCTCACCAAATTGTCATCAAAACTATTAGCAGTAAACTTACATAAATCCACCTTAATTGATGGCTCTTAATGTCAAAGAGGGTTCTCAAAATTTAACGAAGAAAATGCACGAAAACAATCCAGTCACAGCAGACGCCAATCGTAGCACCACGGAAGTCAGTCAGAGAGTATCGACTGTGCGGCGGCCAGGCGCGCGGCGCTTCAAATGGCCACGGTGCTTTGACGCAGGCGCGCCGCGTCGCCCACTCCTGTCAATCCCTCATAAATTTATCGCCTGTTTGTCAGTTGCCGACGCCATCTACCCCAATTCACAGTAAATATGAGACAAAATGTGAAGTCAGCTTGATTCGGCTGCATGTATATGCATACTCTTCGCTGCTTAAGAACCAATTGGTTCGGGAGATCGTATTTTATTTACCTTTTTGCACGTCTTCTTGTCACACTCTACGTTTCGATTTTATGTAAATGTCGAACATCTTAATCATTCTCGTGTTGCTTTATTTTTTATTCGAGACAAGTTATTGAGCACGCGCGTGCGTTATCTTTATGGACCGCCTCGTCGCCGCCTGCGCAATAGCTCATTTTTCGAGTGAACGACCTTTTTTGTGGTGTTGTGCTTTTGTGACTCTACAAACTCAAAACTTATACCTGCCATGGATTTTTTCTCGTGAGGTGAAGAGGCGTGCCTCACTCCGCCTCACTGTACCCAAACCTGGGAACATAACAATCACAGGCTGACGGTGACGGCTGATTCCACCACAAAGCGCGTCAAGTCTCTCTCACTCTCGTCTAGTGGCGGTGCCCGATGCACGCGACAAGGACGGAGGTACAAAACCGATCTTCTGAAACAGTCGGCTGAGGAAACTCGCCTCATATGAGGTGAACGTCCTCTGCTCACGAAACAAAATCCACAATTACCGATCGCCCTTCGCGGTCGGTGTCGCGGGTGTAGAAAGGAAGTGTGGAAAAAGATTTTGGAAACATATCAGGTCTGTCAAATCATCACAATGAACAAATGTACGTTTTCTTTCTTTTATTATTCTCTACGAAAATTATGCAATCAATAAATTAAGGCTTCAATACAAAAGAATAGCACATGGCAAGTAAGACGTAAAAAAAAGATAAAACCATCAGTGTTGCATTGTGCAGCACAGCATCATCTTCAAATACACATCTCAAACACAACAAATAAATAAA